ACACACACACACACACACACACACACACACACACACACACACACACACACGGCTTCTTCCCATGAGGAACACTGTGAACAGACCCTACACACACACACACACACACACACACACACACACACACACACACACACACGGCTTCTTCCCAGGCCTGTATGTACCTCCTCTTGTGTCAGAACTTCGCCTTTGCCTTCTGAGTCTCCCTGTCCTTCCTCTTCGCTTCTGCATATTAAAACCGGAGCCTCGGTGTCGTGTTCAACCTAAAATAAGGAGAGTCTCAGCCTTAGTCTCTAGTTGGATGCAAATTAAAAACCTTGGTATCTCTGAATATACAAATACATATTTTGGTGAATGTTTTCATTTTTTTAAAATCCTTTTGTACATCAAAACTTTTTACCAAGTGCTAAATCGGGATCCCTGCAGTAACAAATACCCATAATGGGGCCTCTAAAACAGTGATTTTCAACCTGTGGATCACGACCCCATAGAGGTCCCATATCATATATCCTGCACACCAGATATTTACAGTACAATTCATAACAGCAGCAAAATTATGACTATGACGTAGCAGTGAATAATTTTATGGCTAGGGAGTCACCACAACATGAGGAATAAGGGCAGCAGCATTAGGAAGGTTGAGAACCACTGCTCTAAAAAAAAGGAAACAAAACCATTTGGAAGCCCTACTGACTAAATTCTCACAGCTGACTTCCTAGACACAGCCTTTGGTGACTTTCACAGTTCAGTGCTAGTCAACACAACACCATTTAACAGTTCCTAAGAACAGGACAGGAGACATGGCTCAGTGCGTCAGTGCATACACAGCACACATGTAATGCACAGACGTATGTGAGGGCAAAACATCCATACACGTAAAAGAAAATAAATAAATACAAAAAAGAATACACAGTCGTTATGAGGCACCCATCGGCTCAGACGTCTTAGAAAAAATAAATAAACTGCCATCAGTGTAAACTGGATTTTTAGACACTGGGTTCTAGAGATAACTATAATTAAAGGGGTGTTTGCAGGAGATTAGAGAGAACATGAAAACCAAGACAGTCTCCGGGCCCCTGTGACACTTTAGGAACTATATGCTTAGTGACAGCTCTTGGAGGCCTCTTCTCACAAAGGACACTTTGCTGGTTGAGAGACAGCAGAGAGTGGAATGTAGACTACCTTTCCAATACCCTTTGCTTATTTTGCTTTGTAAATTAATTACCATCTTAAGGTAAATTATTATTAAATAAAACCTTTATCTTCCCTCTGGCAAAGAAAAAAAGAAAACCAAGACAGAACACAAGCCAGAGATGACCAGAGGACAAAAAAAAAAAATGACTACTGCTTTCTACATTAGTCTCTCAAAAAGTCAAAAGGGGACAATCCAGGGACCACAGACAACAGAGTGAGGACCAACTGTAGGAATTAACCGAAATAGATGCAACCACTTTTGGAAGATATACGCTAAGATGTAAAACTACACAAGAAGTAGTGAGTAAAAGTGGAGTTGAAGAAAATTCTAAATAAAGATCCCTGGGACACGGGGCCAGCTGGAGAGATGGTTCAGTGGTTTCAGAGTCCATGCTGCTCCTGCAGCAGAGCAGGGTGCAGTCCCTAGGGCCCACATGTGTAACTCCAGTCCCAGGGCATCCGATAGCCGGCGTCCTCTTCTGGCCTCCCTACGCACTGCATGCATGTGGTGCACAGACACATGTAGGTAAAACACCTACATACAGGAGGCAAAAGAGATCCCTTTGGGGCCCGCCTCCGACCTAAGGAACATTATCTGAAAGCATTCTAAAGAGAGCCTTTTCTGTTCCACATCCTACCCTGTACCATACCGGTGAACACTAACGTGACGTGACTTAAGTGATTTACACACACTTGGCATGTACTATACCAACGTAAATGATCTGAAAATCTACTTCTTAAAAAGGAAAGAAAAGGCCAGGGAGACATGGACCTCCAGCTAAGCCGCGCAGGCAGCGTTAAGTATCTACCTCGGCGGGAGCACTCGACACGCAGGCCGGGTCCCTGCGGGTGCCCAGATGCGGGTGCCCAGATGTGCGTGCCCAGATGCGGGTGCCCAGATGCGGGTGCCCAGATGCGGGTGCCCAGATGTGTGCAGCTCCACCGAAGCCCTGTCCCCCTGCTTCCAACCACCGCCCCGGTGCACGGTCGCCGCAGACCCCATCAATCACTGCCACACAAGCAAACAGACCGGGGCGGGCCTAAGACCCCCCGCATCCTGCAACTGCGCAGTGGTCGGCCCTGTCCTGACTTCCGGTCAGGGCCAGGTTGCAGGCAGGCACAGGAATCGGGGTCGGGATCGGCACAGAACAAGTCCAAATTCCCTCCTGGCTGCCGTTACCCAGGCAACGCCAAGCCAACCGGGAAGTCCTCCCTCTCACCTCGGGAACCACGCGAGGCGGGTGCGGAGCGGTAGACTGCTCCCCAAAGTGTGGCGGAAGCGGCTGCGTGCTGCGCCTGCGCCTCTGCTGTGCGCACGCGCAGTTCCCCAGCACACGCCCACGCGCACACCTGGAGCCGTGGTTGCCAACCCGCACCCGACAGAGCCAGTGGAGAGTCTTTCCTCACCTCGTCCTTCCTTCCTCAGGCCTCCCGCCCCCTCCACCAGGCTGGCTTAGCTGGTTCCCACCTTGCCCTCCCTGCTCGCCATCTGCCAGGACCCGGGCATACCATTTTCCCAGACAGCCTATTCCCTCATCCACCCCTATGTGTGCATTTGTCTTGTCCCAAGACTTACTGGCGTTGTTAGGGTCAAAAGTATAAGGAAAAGTAAGAATTAAACTTGTAGGGAGAAATAAAAGATGAGAATTTAGACATCCTCAAGCAGCGAGGAGCAAGCTTTATTCAATACCAGAGAAGGAGTGTTTCTAGTTCTGGCCTTGCGCGCCATGATCAGGGCACAGGACTCAACCAAAGACCAGAGATCACGAGAAGGCACATCACATGCTTTAGGCTGGGGTTTTGTAGCTAAGGATGTGGAAGGAGCTTGCTAAGGACAGAATGAGGATCTTAACCATTTTGACACTACAGGGTCTGTTTCTCTTTTTGCAACAGCTGGGAAACTAGAGTAGGTATAAGCTGCGTGTGTGTGTGTGTGTGTGTGTGTGTGTGTGTGTGTGTGTGTGTGTGTGTGCAATCTCCGAATAACTATTTGAGTTCAATTTCAGGGACTTGGCTTTGGTGGGGGGCAGGGTTTAGAGCCTTTTTATAAAGGATGGGGGGGGGCTTCTGTCTGGCTACTTCCTGTTGACAGGGGGCAGCGTTTAACAGGTTTTTCAGTCTGGGATGATTCTAAAAGAAGATGTGTGATGGACTAAGTGATGTCAGTGAAATGTTCCAAGAGAAATGTCTGTTTAAAATAAGGGGGGAAGAGGGGAATAGAGGAGGAGCAGGATGGCAGGGACGTGAGACAATGGTTGGGTTGTTAGTACCTGGTCCCTGAGCTGCTGAACCATCTTTGATTGTTCAGCATTGTTCCTGGAAGAGAATGTAGATCCCTCTATGGGAAGCAGCAAGGAGTTCCAACCCCCACCCCGGTGGCCAAAGAGTCAAGTTCATCTTGAATGGTGTTGGTCTGACCTGAAATGTCTTCAATAAATGGAGGCAGTTTCTAATGCAAGGCCCAAATAATAAACCTAGAATGATCGGAAGACCCTAGTGTGGTTCCCAGACGTGCCGAGCAGGAAAGAGGGCTGAGAGTGCCTTCAGTGATCCTAAACCATTCATGATGCTCTTCTGCACCTTTGTTTTTTAGAACAGCAGGATTCTTAGCACCTTCAAGGTTCCTTATATGCCAAGAACTATCACTGAGTGGCTCTTGTACTGAACTAATTCAATGTACATCCTTCTAACACTGGCTCACTCCAACAAAGAAGAAAGTATCCAGTGATATGGAAATTGCAGAGCAAATACTCCCCATGATAAAAACTTACCCTGAGCGAGAAAACAGTTGCCAAAGACCAAGCACCTGTGTAGCACTGCTGAGCACTGAGGAGCAGTGGAGGGGTGTTTCCTCAAGACACAGCAGCAAGAGGGGCCCTGACGCTGGTGGAATGTTTAATGTCTTGACTGTGACAGATACAAACCTAAAATTCCAACGACATTATATGGAATAAAGGGACTTAACTGCAAACACAAAAGAGAAGTCTGAATAGGAAGGATGATTGTCTTATTGTCGATGTGTATGTGATATTTTACTATAGTTTTGTAAATACGTATGATCCCTGTATTGTATCTTACACTTCCATAAGGTTCTCCAAGTATCACCAAAAAAATCTCAAGGGACAGGTGCTGGTGAGATGGCTCAGCAGTTAAGATCCCTGGTAACTCTGATGTCCAGCACCTACATGGTGGCTAACAACCTTGTGTAACTCCAGTCCATCGGATCTGATGCTTGGTGCCCTCTTCTGGCCTCCAATGGCCCCAGATATGACCATGGTGCACAGACATACACATAGGCAGAACACACACACACACACACACACACACACACACACACACACATAAAATATTTTCAGTTGGAGAAAAACATGGATTCTTCCTGATTTTTAAAGTTATTGTGCACACGCATAATTGTGTGTGTGCATGTGTGTATGTGCAAGTGTGTGCACAAATGTGTGCATGTGTGTGCATGCCTGCTCAAACACCACTGCAAATACACAGAGGAGTCAGAACAACTTCATGGAGTCAGATCCTTCCTTCCACCTTTCCATGGGTCCCAAGGATTGAGCTCAGGTTGCTGGGTTTTTCCAGGCACCTGCCCTCACCTGCTGAGTCACCTCATCCTTGCCAATCCTTTTTCTGATTATTAATGCTCAGGGAGCGACTGACTAGAAGCCTGCCGAGAAATGGCGATTTACAACAGAATCTTTTGTCATGGATATGTCTCATATCTATTTCCTGTATTTCACCGTTTTCCCAATACAACCTCCCTCACGCATACTGTGATCAGTGCGACTCAAATGTCTCACTTTAATTTAAATGGTCCCTTGTGGCTATTAGCAACCTACTGAACAGTCAGGAAATGAAACTTGACCTTGAGATCCCTATTTCCTTATTTCCAGGGTGTTAGCAAACAGGGAGGATTTGTTCCCCTCTACAAACCAACTGTAAACATTATGAGCATAGAGCATCCTGTCATCTTAACAAGGGGGATGCAACTATAAGGGGTGCATCGTGGTGCTATTTTGAGCACAGAACAGCAGCCTTCCCTGATGGCCCTCGCCTCTGTATACCTCAGTCCTTACATCCAGGTAAGGCAAAGCACATAGAGGTATGTAAAGAGATATCCATGCGGTTAGTAAGGAATGTTTCCTGCCCAAGGATTAACCAACAGCTTTGCTTCAGTATTCTAAGTGGGAAATTCAACACAAATTTCGATTCCTCATCATCCTCTACCAATTCATCCTACAACTCTAGTTCCTACGACTTAAGGGGCAGTGCGTTATTTTTTTTAAACACCATTGAGACTGTGTACAGAGGTCCAATTTGCAAGTTGTGGAATACAGTGCAAAATTCATACAAGCACGGAGCAAGATTCAGTCGCATGGGCAAGCCAAAGGTCTGACTGCCAGGTGGACAGCTGCAGCCGCAACTCTCTGGCCGTCTCCTGCAGTCTTTCCTGGCTGCCGGCTTCCAAAACGCCTTAAGAAAAAAGCCCCAGATGCCCAAGAGTTGACCCAGTCGTTTTGCTGGCTGGTTTTCAACTCCCCAACAGTACCCTGCGTGCTCTGAGCTAGCAAAGGACCCGGCACGTTCCTTTCATTGTAAACTTTTATAAAACTTAACCCGATGCGGCTGCGAAGGTGAGCCACCACCCTGTAAATATACAACCAATAAGACAAAACGTATAAATCTCCCAAGAACAATCACCAGTCTCCCGCCACGCCACGCCACGCCCTCCTGGGGGCGGGGCCTGAAGTGGGCCTGCGCAGTGGGCCCATCAAAGGCCTCTCCAGCCGGAGGACCCTAGAAATACCCGGTTCCGAGAGGCTGTTCTGCTACCTCCCAGTGCCATTTGTCCCAGGTTCGCTGCACCCGACCGCCAGCCATGTCGTCCTGCAGCCGCGTGGCGCTGGTGACCGGGGGTAACAAGGGCATCGGCTTCGCCATCACGCGTGACCTCTGTCGGAAGTTCTCGGGGGACGTGGTGCTCACGGCGCGGGACGAGGCGCGGGGCAAGGCGGCGGTGCAGCAGCTGCAGGCGGAGGGCCTGAGCCCGCGCTTCCACCAGCTGGACATCGATGACCCGCAGAGCATCCGCGCCCTGCGCGACTTTCTGCGCAAGGAGTACGGGGGACTGGACGTGCTGGTCAACAACGCGGGCATCGCCTTCAAGGGTAAGCCATGGGGTGCGGAGAGAGGGGAGGCGGCTTCCCCAGAGCCTGGTGCCAGGGTGGGCTCTGCCTCTCTGGGGAGCTCGGCTCGGGCAGGGGCGCCCTGGCGTGGGAGTCTAGAACAGATCCCCTGGGAGAAACAGGGCAGGGTGGGGGCTGCAGGCAGAGCGGGCTCCGTGGTCCTTGTGTTTACCTAACTAGGACTAGTCGCCATCGTTCCCAGTTGTCGAGTAATTGGGCTTGGGGATACTTGAGTGGAACTTTTCATCTGATTGTGAAATAAACAGGAAATTGAGAGGAGAGAAAGGAGAGATCCCGATACACAGCCCTCCCCCGGGGGTGCTGCGTCTTTCACAAACTATAGAGCATTGTCAGATTGACAGTGGGGTCCGACTAAACACTTGGAAGTGGATTTCTAACGCTCTGGGTCAGGTCTATACAGCGTCATCCAATCAGTTCCATTCTCTTTCTCCCCCGGAAGTTGCTGACCCAACCCCCTTCCCCGTTCAAGCAGAAGTGACCATGAAAACGAACTTTTTTGGTACCCGAGATGTCTGCACTGAGCTCCTGCCTCTCATAAAACCCCAAGGTGAGTCTGGTGGGAGGTCCCCAGGCCTGCTTCTCTCCTTCTGTGCCAGGACTGGCGCCCGCCTCTCTGCCACTGGAGGTGTGGCTCTGCTTTTGGTCTCAATTCTTCTGTGGCTGCAGATTCTCTCTTTGCATGTCCTCGTTAAATGTCCGCTCCGCTTCCACATCCTCTCACTTGAGGGGCTTTTAGGATTCCATTCCTCTCTCAAACATTTCACACACCAACTGGGCCCCTACCTACAGGTCACAATGCCCTCTCCCTACAAAACCTCAGACTATGCCCCCTGAGTGCCTCCCTCGGGTCACCTCCACAGCAGGTCTCAGCTGTCAAACTGCACTGCTGCCAGCCCACCCAGGAGGCCTCCTTTCTTGAGCATGCTCCTTTCCTGGGTTTCCACACCCTGTCTGCCCAGCTCCACCCCTCCCTAAGGTCCTTCAGGAGAGGGCCCAAGCCTTTGGCATGGTTCACAGGACTCTATAATCTGAGCCGTCTTTCCTCCAGGCTGTTAGCTCTCCATCGACCTGTTCCATGTTCTGCAAAACAAACTATC